GGTGCCCTTCACCCCATGGGACCCCCCTTTCCATGGGACGTGGACCATTTCCATGAGCACCCCTTGTCCCCAAGGAGCACCCTAAGGCCTCGCCTCGGCTCGCACCCCCCTCAGCACTGCCCCATCTCCCTGGGACACCCCATTTTCCCCTTCACCCTCCTCAATGGACACCCCAAACCCTTCTGGCACGTCCCAACGGGTGTCCTTCCCTATTGCCACGGGACACCCTCGAGCACCCCTTGGCCCCAGGGAGCTCCACCCCCCTTCACGAGCATCTCACTGTCCCCTTCACCCCCCTGGAACCTCCCCCGGGGGTGTCCTTCACCCCATGGCCATTCCCCCCAGCACCTCAAGAGCATCCGATGGCCATGGGGGACCCCCTCGGGCACCTCTTGTCCCCAAGGAGCACCCCAGCTCCTGCCAGCCCTGCCCTGGGGCTCACCGGGAGCGCGCCGGCAGCTCGGGGTTGAGGGCGCAGGCGCCGATGCCGAACTGCTCGAGGAGCAGCTTGAGGCGGTAGCAGCGGGGCAGGGAGGACACGAAGAGCAGGGCCCGGCCGCGCAGCACCCGCAGCCGCAGCAGCGCCACCAGCACCAGCACCTTGTCCTCGGCCGTGCCGCAGCGCAGCACCAACTGCTGCAGCTGAGCCGGGCCCGGCAGCGGGGCCTGCGCCGGGCACAGCCGCACCTGCACCGGGAACCGCGGAGCTGCCGTGACCCCAACGGGCTCTGGGCTGGGGGCAGCACCTCTGTGCCCACAGACCTGCTGCTGCTCCCCAAACCTGACCCTGCAGCCCCAAAAACTGCCCCTGCCCCCCCCGAACCTGCCCCTGCCCCCCCCGAACCTGACCCTGCCCCCCCAAACCTGCCCCTGCCCCCCCCGAACCTGCCCCTGGCCCCCCCAAACCTGACCCTGACCCCCCGAACCTGCCCCTGCAGCCCCAAACCCGCCCCTGCAGCCCCAAACCCACCCCTGCAGCCCCAAACCCACCCCTGCAGCCCCAAAACCAGCCCCTGCCCCCCCAAACCCGCTCCTGCCCACCCCAAACCCGCCCCTGCCCATCCCAAATCTGACCCTCTGCCCCCAAACCTGCCCCTACCCCCCCCAAACCTTCCCCTGGACCCCCCAAACTTCCCACTGGATGCCCCAAAGCCACCTCTGATCCTCCCCCCCCCCCCCGACACCTCAAATCTCCCTTCTGACCCGCCAAACCTGCTCTCGGACCCCCAGATCCTCCCCTGGACCCTCCAAACACCCCCCCAGACACCCCAGAGCTGCCCCTGGAGCCCCCAAACCTCTCCAGACCCCTAAAACCAGCCCAAAGACCCCCCCAAAACTCCCCCCTTGCCCTCACCGGGTTGTGCAGCACCAGCTCCTTGAGCGCCTCCACGTCGGGGCTGAACGTGGCCGACATCAGCAGCGCCTGATAGATCTTGGGGAGGTGGCTGGGGGGGGCACAGGGGGGTCAGCGCCAGCCCTTACCCCATGGGGACCCCCGCATCCCAGCCCTTGAACCCCGCTGTGCCCCCCAAAACCTTGGGCCCCAACCCCTGACTGTGCCCCCCCCGCTCTCCTGCCCAAGCCCCATCGCACCCCCCCCGACCCCCAGCCACAGCAGTGCCCCCCCAGGCCCTGTGAGTGCCCCCCATGGCCCCCAGCCCCTCACCAGAGCAGGGCCTTGATGTCCTCGAGGCAGCCGAAGCCCAGGAGCAGGTCGGCCTCATCCAGCACCAGCAGCTCCAGCGAGTGCCGCAGCACCAGGCTGCGGGCAGTGACCTGCGCCAGCACCCGCCCCGGCGTCCCCACCAGCACGTCCGGCTGTGCCGCCACCACGGGCCTGAGACAGCGTGGCACCATGGGGATGTGGGGCTGGGGGGGGTATAGGGGGGCTGGGGGTTGGACAATGGGGTCTGTGGGGTGACATGGGGACACCAAGGGGTGACACGGGGACACTGGGGGATGACACAGGGACACCAGGGAGTGAAATGGTGACACTGGGGGGGTGACACGGTGACAACCGAGGGTGCTGGGGGATGACGGGGTGACACCAAGGGGTGACTGAGTGGCACTGGGGTTGGACACAGTGACAACAAGGGGTGACCCGATGGCAATGAGGGGTGACACGGGGACACCTAGGGGTGACCCCATGGACAATGGGGGGTGACATGGGGACACCTAGGGGTGACCCCATGACAATGGGGGGTGACATGGGGACACCTAGGGGTGACCCGATGGCAATGGGGGGTGACACGGGGACACCTAGGGGTGACCCCATGACAATGGGGGGTGACATGGGGACACCTAGGGGTGACCCGATGGCAATGGGGGGTGACACGGGGACACCTAGGGTGACCCCATGACAATGGGGGGTGACATGGGGACACCTAGGGGTGACCCGATGGCAATGGGGGGTGACACAGGGACACCAAGGGGTGACCCGATGGCAATGGGGGGTGACACGGGGACACCAAGGGGTGACCCGATGGCAATGGGGGGGTGACACGGGGACAACAACGGTGACCCCATGACAATGGGGGGGTGACACGGGGACACCTAGGGGTGACCCGATGGCAATGGGGGGGTGACACGGGGACAACAAGGGTGACCCCATGACAATGGGGGGGTGACACGGGGACACCTAGGGGTGACCCGATGGCAATGGGGGGTGACACGGGGACACCAAGGGGTGACCCAAAGGCAATGGGGGGTGACACCAAGGGGGAGCCGGGCACTCACCGCAGCGCCGCAGGGTCCCCATCCCCCAGCTCGGCCACGCGCAGATCGGTGGCAGCCGCCAAGCGGCGCAGGCAGCGCAGCACCTGCAGGGCCAGCTCCCGGGAGGGCACCAGCACCAGCGCCCGCACGGCCTGGGGCAGAGCCTGGGGAGCCTGGGCACGGGGACACGGGGAGACCAGAGTGAGGGACAGTGAGGGACAGTGAGGGACAGGGAGAGACAGGGAGAGACAGGGAGAGACAGTGAGAGACAGTGAGAGACAGTGAGAGACAGTGAGAGACAGTGAGAGACAGTGAGAGACAGGGAGAGACAGTGAGGGACAGTGAGAGACAGTGAGGGACAGTGAGAGACAGGGAGAGACAGTGAGAGACAGTGAGACACAGTGAGAGACAGGGAGAGACAGTGAGGGACAGTGAGAGACAGTGAGGGACAGTGAGAGACAGGGAGAGACAGTGAGAGACAGTGAGACACAGTGAGAGACAGGGAGAGACAGTGAGGGACAGTGAGAGACAGTGAGGGACAGTGAGAGACAGGGAGAGACAGTGAGAGACAGTGAGACACAGTGAGAGACAGGGAGAGACAGTGAGAGACAGTGAGGGACAGTGAGAGACAGTGAGGGACAGTGAGAGACAGTGAGGGACAGTGAGAGACAGGGAGAGACAGTGAGAGACAGGGAGAGACAGGGAGAGACAGGGAGAGACAGTGAGAGACAGTGAGGGACAGTGAGAGACAGTGAGAGACAGGGAGAGACAGTGAGAGACAGTGAGAGACAGTGAGAGACAGGGAGAGACAGTGAGAGACAGTGAGAGACAGGGAGAGACAGTGAGAGACAGTGAGGGACAGTGAGAGACAGTGAGAGACAGGGAGAGACAGTGAGGGACAGTGAGAGACAGTGAGGGACAGTGAGAGACAGGGAGAGACAGTGAGAGACAGTGAGGGACAGTGAGAGACAGTGAGAGACAGGGAGAGACAGTGAGAGACAGTGAGAGACAGTGAGAGACAGTGAGAGACAGTGAGGGACAGTGAGAGACAGTGAGGGACAGTGAGAGACAGGGAGAGACAGTGAGAGACAGTGAGACACAGTGAGAGACAGGGAGAGACAGTGAGAGACAGTGAGGGACAGTGAGAGACAGTGAGGGACAGTGAGAGACAGTGAGGGACAGTGAGAGACAGGGAGAGACAGTGAGAGACAGGGAGAGACAGGGAGAGACAGGGAGAGACAGTGAGAGACAGGGAGAGACAGGGAGAGACAGGGAGGGACAGTGAGAGACAGTGAGGGACAGTGAGAGACAGTGAGGGACAGTGAGAGACAGTGAGGGACAGGGAGAGACAGTGAGGGACAGGGAGAGACAGGGAGAGACAGGGAGGGACAGTGAGAGACAGGGAGAGACAGTGAGGGACAGGGAGAGACAGTGAGAGACAGGGAGAGACAGGGAGAGACAGGGAGAGACAGGGAGAGACAGGGAGAGACAGTGAGAGACAGGGAGAGACAGTGAGAGACAGGGAGAGACAGGGAGAGACAGGGAGAGACAGTGAGAGACAGGGAGAGACAGGGAGAGACAGGGAGGGACAGTGAGAGACAGGGAGAGACAGTGAGAGACAGGGAGAGACAGTGAGAGACAGTGAGGGACAGTGAGAGACAGGGAGAGACAGTGAGAGACAGTGAGGGACAGTGAGAGACAGGGAGAGACAGTGAGAGACAGGGAGAGACAGTGAGGGACAGGGAGAGACAGTGAGGGACAGGGAGAGACAGGGAGAGACAGTGAGGGACAGTGAGAGACAGTGAGGGACAGGGAGAGACAGGGAGAGACAGTGAGGGACAGTGAGGGACAGTGAGGGACAGGGAGAGACAGTGAGAGACAGTGAGGGACAGTGAGAGACATGAGAGCAGTGAGGGACAGTGAGGGACAGTGAGGGACAGTGAGAGACAGTGAGAGACAGTGAGAGACAGTGAGGGACAGTGAGGGACAGTGAGGGACAGTGAGAGACAGTGAGGGACAGTGAGGGACAGTGAGAGACAGTGAGGGACAGTGAGAGACAGTGAGGGACAGTGAGGGACAGTGAGGGACAGTGAGAGACAGTGAGGGACAGTGAGAGACAGTGAGGGACAGTGAGAGACAGTGAGAGACAGGGAGAGACAGTGAGAGACAGTGAGGGACAGGGAGAGACAGTGAGGGACAGGGAGAGACAGTGAGAGACAGTGAGAGACAGGGAGAGACAGTGAGGGACAGTGAGAGACAGTGAGAGACAGTGAGGGACAGGGAGAGACAGTGAGGGACAGGGAGAGACAGGGAGAGACAGTGAGAGACAGGGAGAGACAGTGAGAGACAGTGAGGGACAGTGAGAGACAGTGAGGGACAGGGAGAGACAGTGAGGGACAGGGAGAGACAGTGAGGGACAGTGAGAGACAGTGAGGGACAGGGAGAGACAGGGAGAGACAGTGAGGGACAGTGAGGGACAGTGAGGGACAGGGAGAGACAGTGAGAGACAGTGAGGGACAGTGAGAGACAGTGAGAGACAGTGAGGGACAGTGAGGGACAGTGAGGGACAGTGAGAGACAGTGAGAGACAGTGAGGGACAGTGAGGGACAGTGAGGGACAGGGAGAGACAGGGAGAGACAGTGAGGGACAGTGAGAGACAGGGAGAGACAGGGAGAGACAGTGAGGGACAGTGAGGGACAGGGAGAGACAGTGAGGGACAGTGAGGGACAGTGAGAGACAGTGAGGGACAGTGAGGGACAGTGAGGGACAGTGAGGGACAGGGAGAGACAGTGAGGGACAGTGAGGGACAGTGAGAGACAGTGAGGGACAAGGAGACACAATGTGACACAGTGTGAAACAGTGCAACACAGTGGGAAACAGTGTGATACAGTGCGACACAGTGGGACACGGGGGGGGGGGACAGTGAGACACAGTGGGACACAGTGGGACACAGTGAGACACAGAGTGAGACACAGTGGGATACAGTGCGATACAGTGTGACACAGTGCAACAGTGCGATACAGTGAGACAGTGCGACACAGTGCGATACAGTGCGACAGTGCGATACAGTGCAACAGTGCGACACAGTGCGATACAGTGCGACACAGTGCAACAGTGCGACACAGTGCGACACAGTGCAACAGTGCGACACAGTGCGACACAGTGCGACACAGTGCAACAGTGCGACACAGTGCGACACAGTGCGACACAGACACAGTGAGACACAGTGGGATACAGTGAGACACAATGAGACACAGTGCGACACAACGAGACACAGCAAGACACAGTGCGACACAGTGGGAAACAGTGGGACACAGTGAAACACAGTGTGACTCAGTGGGACACAGTGGAGCACAGTGGGACACAGTGAAACACAGTGCAACACAGTGAGACACAGTGAGACACAGTTGGACACAGTGAAACACAGTGAGACACAGTGGGACACAGTGCGACACAGTGGGACACAGTGAAATACAGTGTGACTCAGTGGCACACAGTGAGACAGAGTGCAACACAGTGGGACACAGTGGGGCACAGTGGGGCACAGTGGGACACAGTGCGACCCAGACACAGTGGGGCACAGTGTCACCAGACCATGGAGCCCCGTACCCCCCGTTTCCCCCCCCAGAGCCCACCCCTCCCCTGTACCCCCAGAGCCCCGGTGCCCTCCGGAGCTCTCTTGCCCGCGGAGCCCCCCCCCCGCCCCGCTCCCCGCTCACCTCCCTGCCCCGCAGGAGCAGCTGCAGCACGGGCAGGCCGTAGGCTCCGGTCTTGCCGGAGCCGGTCCTGGCGCGCACCAGCAGGTCCCGGCCCTCCAGCGCCAGCGGAATGGCCTCGGCCTGGATGGACGTGGGGGAGCCCCAGCCCAGCTCCGCCACCGCCTGCGGGGCCGGCCCGGGGGTGACCGCGCTGCGCCCGCGCCCCGGGGCTCAGCCCCTGAAGGACCCCGGCACCGAACCTCCCCGGCCCCGCAGACCCTCCCGGTGCCCCGAACCCCGCTGTCCCCCCCCACTCCCCCCAGCAATGACCCCAAGGCTTCAGTGCACCCCAAGCCCTGGCTGTGCCCCCCATGTACTGCCCCGAACCCCGCTTTACCCCATATCCCCCTCCAAGCCCTGGCTGTGCCCCCCATGTACTGCCCGGGCAGTGCCCCACAGCCCCTGTACCCCATATCCCCCCCCAAGCCCTGGCTGTGCCCCCCATGTACTGCCCGGGCAGTGCCCCACACCCTGCTGTACCCCATCTTCCCCAAGCCCTGGCTGTGCCCCCCATGTACTGCCCCGGCAGTGCCCCACAGCCCCTGTACCCCATATTCCCCCCCCCAGGCCCTGGCTGTGCCCCCCATGTACTGCCCCGCACCCCGCTGTACCCCATATTCCCCCCCATCGCCTCATGCCCCAACCCCAGGCACCCCAAGCGCTCTCAATGGGCTCCTCTCCCCCCAGAGCACCCCACTGCCCCATTCGCCCCCCCCCCAGGACCCCCGGTGACCAACGGACCGCACGGTACCGGCCCTTTGCGGCCTCCCTCACCCCCAGGGACCCCCGAGCCCCCTCCCCACCGTGGCTCCCCCCACCCCGGTGCCGGTCCCGCTCCCTCCGCACCCGCAGGAGCCGCGGGTCCAGCCCCATGTGCTCGAACCGCGCCGCCGGCCCCTCCGCCGCCGCCATGCTGGGCTCCCGCTCACCACCGACACCGTGCGGCGCGCCCAGAGCGGCTCAGGCCGCCGCGCCGCCCCCTGGCGGTGGAGGACTGAGCACCCCCCGCATATTAAAACCGCACCAATGGACCCCAAAACCGCTTTATTTCCCCCAAAAACGGCAGCGCGGACCCCCCCCCCCCCCCCCCCCCACGCTGTGGGAGCCCCCCCGGGGGGTGCTGGGGGGCTCTACACCAGCTTCTTGGCCTCGAAGAAGCTCTTGAGATGCCTCATCTGCCAGATGCCGGTGAGGATGAGGATGATGGTCTGGGCGATGGACCACCACAGCACGCGCTGGTTCGTGCTCTCGCTCGTCATGCGGAAGCGCTCCTCCCGGTACTGAGCACGGGAATAAAGCGTGGGGTGGGGTCACGGGAGGGGGAAAGCGGGGTGTCCTGTCCCCCGTCCCCCCCCCGACCCCGCACCCCGCTCCTCACCCGCTGGTAGTTCTGCTCCTTCTGGATCTGCTCGACCTGGTCGAGGAGCTGCCGGGCGCGGAGCTGCAGCTCCGTCAGCTTGTCCTTGGCGGCGATCTCGGGGTAGTTGTTGGTGTGCTCCCCCACCTGGATGTCGAGGTGCACCCGCTGCGGGGCGCAGGGGGTCAGGGCGCGCCGGTGCCACCGGTACCCCTGCCTCGGGGTGTCCCCGGTACCCCCGCTTCGCGGTGTCCCCATGCCCGGTCCCCACTCACCAGCTTGCCGCCGGCGAACAGTGCCATGCGGGTGGAGTTGGAGTGGAGGCAGATCTGGTGCTCCCCCGGTGTGTGCGACGTGAAGGTGAAGCGGCCCTCGGAGCCGTACTGCCGCGACAGCACCACCTGCACCGCGACACCGCACCCGCTGCCGAGGCACCCGCAGGGAACCCTTGGCCTGGCTTGGAAGGGACCCCAGGGACCCCCCACCCAGCACAGTGGGCACCCCGGGGACCCCTACTCAGGCACAAAGGCACCCCAACCCAGCAGGCACCCCAACGGTGGGCACCCGAGCACCCCAAGCACCCCCCACCTTCCTTTACAAGCACCCCAAGGACCCCCTGCCCTCGTTCAAAAGCACCCCAGGGACATCCCCCCATGGGTACCCATGCACCCCAAGGGGCCCCTGCCCTGGTCGATGGGTGCTCCGTGCACCCCAAGCACAATTTGCCTTCTTCTACCAGCACCCAGGGGACCCCCTGTGCAGGACCAAAGGCACCCCGGGGACACCCCCCCCTCCCTCCACGCACCACAGGGACCCCCGCAGCCCCATGGCTGCCCCATGCACACCCCCCAGGCACTCACTTTGCCGTCGGGGTCCTTCACCTCCACGTGCATGCCCAGCCCCGGCGTGGAGGGCAGGAACGACTCGGACTGCTTGTCCCAGAGCTGCGTCCGGTAATTCCCTGCGGAGAGCGGGGCATCGGACCGGGACCGGGACCGGCGCCATCCCCCGGGGATGGGGAACCACCCCCCCCCCGGCTCCGGGCCCCCCCGCCCGCACCGATGACCATGGTCTCGTCCGGGATCTCCTCGATGAAGCAGCGCTTCTCGGTCTCTCCGATGTGGAAGTACAGCCCCTGCCCGCCCGCCGCCAGCAGCACAGCCACCACCGCGGCCCGCAGCGCCCCGCCGCCCGCCATGGCCCGCGCCGCTCGCACTGCGCATGCGCAGCACCCTCCCCATTGACACATCCGCGTTCCGGTGGCGCAGCGAGGAGGGCGCTGCTCCTCCAGCGATGAGGTTGAGGGTTCGAGACCCCCGTGCGCCGGCTCCGACGGGAGCGGTGACCCCCGGTTGTGTCCGTCGCCCCCCGTGTGCCCCGTCCCCGCTGTGTGTTTGTCCCGCGTCCCCCCCCCCCGTTCCGAGCCGTGCCGAGCCCGCAGCGGGGCGGAACCAGCGCTTCCCCCTCCGCTAGCGGTGAGGCAACAGCTCCGCCGCCTCCTCCTTCCTTCCGCGCCCCATGGGTGAGCGCGGACCCCCGGGAGCGGGAGGCGGCGGCGGCGGGGCCCTGGCGCGCAAACCCGCGCTCGCCCTCGCCCTCCTCCTCCTCTGTCTCCGCGCAGAGCCCGAAGCCGCCGCGCCCGCCCCGCGGCCCCGCGCAGTGCTCCGGTACCGGTGAGTGGCGCTGCGGGCGCGGGGCCGCGCGGGGCGGAGCGGGGGGGGGCAGCGGTGTCCGCGCTGTCCCCGCAGGATGCGCGACGTGGACCACAAGAGCCTTTACCTGCGCGACGGGCGGCTCGTGGCCGGGCACCTGCAGGGCGCCAACGCGGCGCGGGAAGGTGAGGGGGGGCCCTGCGGATTGGGGGGCGCGGACACCGATGGGGACCCCCCCTCGGGGCGCGCCCTGACGCGGGGGGGGGGCCCCAGAGGAGGTGTTTTGGGTGCCCAACCGCGCCTTCGCGCCCGCCCGGCTGCCCCTCGTCATGGGCATCCAGAACGGGTCCCGGTGCCTCGCCAGCGCCCCCGGGCCCCGGCCCAGCCTGAGCCTGCAGGTCAGCCACCGCCAGCGGGGGGGCACCAACGGGGTGGGGAATCAATGGGGGCAGCACGGGGGGTATCGATGGGGACACCGTGGGGGCACCAATGGGATGGGGGCATCCATGGGGATACCAAGGGGATGGGGACATCAATGGGGACACCACTGGGGATGGGGATATCGATGGGGACACCATGGGGGCACCAATGGGATGGGGGCATCCATGGGGATGGGGATATCTTGGGGATACCAAGGGGATGGGGCGACTTCAATGGGGATGGGGACACCGATGGGATGGGGACATCAATGAGGACATCATTGGGGATGGGGATATCGATGGGGACACCATGGGGGCACCAATGGGATGGGGGCACCATGGGAGAGGGATACCAAGGGGATGGGGACTTCAATGGGGATGGGGACACCAGTGGGAAGGGGACATCAATGGGGACATCTTTTGGGATGGGGATATCAATGGGGACACCATGGGGGCACCAATGGGATGGGGGCATCCATGGGGATGGGGGCATCATGGGGATACCACAGGGATGGGGACATCAATGGGGACATCATTGGGGATGGGGATATCGATGGGGACACCATGGGGGCACCAATGGGATGGGGGCATCCATGGGGATGGGGATATCTTGGGGATACCAAGGGGATGGGGGGACTTCAATGGGGATGGGGACACCGATGGGATGGGGACATCAATGAGGACATCATTGGGGATGGGGATATCGATGGGGACACCAATGGGATAGGGGCATCAATGGGACACCACTGAGATGGAGACACCAGCAGGGATGAGGATATCACTGGGGACACCAGTGAGCATGGGGACACCACGGGGACGGGGACATCAGTGGGGACACCGAGGGCGATGGAGATGGGGACACCAATGGGATGGGTACACCAGTGGGCATGGAGACACCACAGGCACGGGGACATCAATGGGGACACCAAAGGGATGGGGATATCAATGGGGATAGGGACACAAAGAGATGGTAACACCATGGGGACACCGCTGGAGCACGGGGACGTCATTGGGCATGGGGACATCGATGGCGACGTCATTGAGGATGGGGATATCGATGGGGACCCCATGGGGGCACCAATGGGATGGGGGCGTCCATGGGGATGAGGACACCAGTGGGAATGGGGACATCATGGGGACCCCTTGGGGAAGGGACACCACGGGGCCCCCAAAGGGAGGAGGACACAGTGGGGAGGGGGACAACAGGGGGAAGAGGATACCAAAGACATGGGGGCACCACGGGGACACTGTGGGGATGGGGACATCGATGGGTACAGCAAAGAAATGGGGACATGAAAGGGATGGGGACGCCCTGGGGAGGGGACACCACGGGGCTGGGGCGACCGCAGCCCCCGCTCTCGCGGTCCCCTTTCCCCGTGCCGCTGCCCGGTCCCATCCCGGTCCCTCCCCGGTCCCTTCCCGGTCCCATCCCGGTCCCACCCCGGTCCCACCCCGGTCCCATCCCGGTCCCATCCCGGTCCCACCCCGGTCCCATCCCGGTCACCCATCCCGGTCCCATCCCGGTCCCGTCCCGGTCCCACCACGGTCCCTTCCCGGTCCCACCACGGTCCCATCCCGGTCCCTCCCCGGTCCCATCCCGGTCCCGTCCCGGTCCCATCCCGGTCCCGTGCCGGTGCCGCCGCAGGACGCCGACATCCGGGAGCTGCCCCGCGCCGGGGCGGCCTCGGCCGCCTTCACCTTCTTCCGCTCGTACCGGGCCGGGCTCTGGCGCTTCGAGTCGGCCGCGAACCCCGGCTGGTTCCTGTGCACCTCGGCGCGGGGCCACCAGCCCCTGGGGCTCTCCCGGTGCCACGATGCCAGCACCCGCCTCGACTTCTACTTCAGCGCCGCCGAGTGCCCGGAGCCCGGCACCGGGGACCGGGACCCCCCCGTTGGGGACCGGGACCTCCCCCCGCTGACCCCGGTGACGCCCGGGCCAATAAAGCTGCCGAGGGCACCGGTCCCGTGTCGGGGGCTCCGCGTCCCGGGCTCGGGCGGCTCCTTCCCGGAGCGGGGGACGCTGGAGACGCTCCAGCCCCGGCGTGTCCCGACCGGCACCGGGAGACGGGAACGGGGATCACGGGGATGGGGTGGGGACGGCGGAGGGACGTGGGAACAGGGGGACAGGGAGACGGGGGTGTGGGGACAGGGGGGAGACACGGGGACATTGCAGGGACGGGGCGTGGGGACAGGGGACACAGGGGTGTCTGGAGGCAGCTCTATGGGGACACGGGGATATAGGGGGGCACGGGAACATGCGGGCATCGCAGGGACAGGGGGATGCGGCGCACGGGGACACGGTGCCCCCGGCCCGGTGGCAGTGGAGGGGACACAGGAGAGCCGAGGGGACCCCGGGACACGGCGGGACACGGGCACCGGGTGAGGTTTCACCATCCCCGGCCCTGCCCAAAGCGGTACCGCCCAAGGCCAGGGCCGGGCTCTGCTCCCCCGCTCTATAAGAGCCGGAGCCACATCCCGGGACACGCTCGGGAACGCGGGGAATCATCGGGAACCGCCCGATCGGGAACGAGCCGGGTCCTGCCCGGCAGCGGCTGCAGCGCGTTCACTCTGGAGCCGACTGAGAGCAGCGGCCGGTGAGGGGGGACGGGACGGGGACGGGATGGGGATGGGATGGGGAGGGGATGGGGACGGGATGGGGAGGGGATGGGGAGGGGATGGGGATGGGATGGGGACGGGATGGGGACGGGATGGGGAGGGGATGGGGATGGGATGGGGACGGGATGGGGAGGGGATGGGGACGGGATGGGGACGGGATGGGGACGGGATGGGGAGGGATGGGGATGGGATGGGGACGGGATGGGGAGGGGATGGGGACGGGATGGGGAGGGGATGGGATGGGGACGGGATGGGGACGGGATGGGGACGGGATGGGGATGGGATGGGGATGGGATGGGGAGGGGATGCACTTGGGATGGGGACGGGATGTGGATGGCATGGGGACGGGCTGGTCCCATCCCTCCCCCGGGATGTGGCACCAGCGGGCGCCCGCCCTCACCCCAACCTGTCCCTGTCCTCCCCGGGGCAACAGCGGGGCCGAGGGGCCCCGGGGACCCCAGGAGGGGTCCTGGCCCCTGCAGCACCCGATGGGGGTCTCGGCGGAGCCGGGCGCGGGCCCCGGAGCCGCGCCGGAGTCTGTCATCGACCCCGACATGGAGGCCTTGTTCGATGAGTTCCTGGGGAAAGGTAGCGCCGGGGGCGCAGGGACACGGACCCACGGTGCCCGTCGCCGTGTCCCTGCGTCCCCGTGTTCCATGCGATGTCCCCTTATCCCTGTGTGTCCCCTTCCCGTGCCCCCACGTCCCACATCCCCCAGTATCCATCACACCTGTGTCTCACATCCCCATCCCCGTGTCCCTGTGACACCCCCGTCCCCACATCCCTGTGACACCCCCATGTCCCCGTGCGCCCGTGACACCCCCATGTCCCCCCGTCCCTCACACCCGTGCCCCCCCTCCCCACGTTCCAGTGATGCCCTCCTGCACCCACGATGTCCCCTGCCCCCCCCATGCCCCTGACACCCCCCGTGCCCCCCCCCGCTCCCCGCAGAGCTCTCGCCGGAGCTGACGGGGCCCTCGGCGGCGCCGCCGCTGCCCCGGGGCCGGCCCCACCACTTCGTGCTGCGGGACACGGAGCAGCGCGGGCTCTGCCTGCGCGGGGGGCGCCTGGTGCCCACCCCCCTGCAGGGAGCCAGCGCCGACCAGGAAGGTGCGTGCCGGGGGGGGGGGGGGGGGGGGGCCGTGCCCGCTGCCCCCCCGGCCCACGCGGCCCCTCCGTGTCCCGCAGAGATCTTCAGTGCGGTGCCCAACCCGCACCTGGAGCGCCGGCGCTGCCCCCTCATCGTGGGCATCCGGGGGGGCAGCCAGGCCCTGTCCTGCACCCCCGGCCCCGAGCCCCGCCTGCAGCTCGTGGTGAGGGGGGGGCGCAGCCGGGGGGGGGCACCTTGCTATGGGTCAGCCCAAGAGGGGGAATCCCAAGGTTGAGGCACCCATAGGGGGAGCACCCGCATGTGAAGGCACCCATATGGGGAGCATCCCAAGGTGGGGGCACCCATAGGTGGAGCACCCCAAGTTTGAGGCACCCATAGGTGGAGCACCCATAGGTGAGGACACCCATAGGGGGCGCACCCCAAGGTGAGGGCACCCATAGGTGGAGCACCCTAAGGTGAGGGCACCCACAGAGGGAGCACCCCAAGGTTGAGTCACCCATAGGTGGAGCACCCACTTTAAGGTGAGGGCACCCACAGGGGGGCACCCCAAGGTGAGGGCACCCCTAGGGGTCAGCAGAATCTTGCTCAAGTTGGGGGCACCCTGGGCTGGGGGGGGGGGGGCCTAGAGCTGGGTCCTCCCTGTCCGGGGACCCCCGATCAGGCTCAGCCCAAAGCCGCCGCACCCCTGACCCCCCCCCCCCCCCCCGCACGGTGCCCCCGGAGGAGCGGTCCCGGGGGGGTCCCCGCGGCCGTGCCCCAGCGCTGCCCCCCCGCAGGACGCGGCGCTGCTGGAGCTGTTCTCGCTCGGGGCGGGGGCCTCCCCCTGCACCTTCTACAAGAGCTTCGGGGGCTCCACGCACAGCTTCGAGGCGGCCGCGTGCCCCGGGGCCTTCCTCAGCACCGCGGGGGGGCAGGAGCTGGGCCTGGCCCCCCCCCACGGCGCCACCGGCTTCTACCTGCACCGCAGGTGACCCCCGGCGGGGGCAATAAAGAGATGGAACCGGCCCGGAGCGTGGGGGGGGCGGGACCAGGAGGATGGGGGCGGGGCCACGCGGGGCGGGGCCGGGAGGGGGCGGGGCCAGCTGCAGACACGCCCCGCGCCGCGCGCCGGCGGTGCCGGTAAGGGGGGGGTGAGGGAGGGATCCGGAGACCCCCGAGACCGGGGGGAGCCCCCGTGACCTCTGGGTGCCCCAAGGACCCTGGGGTCACCCCGCGCCCCCCGGGGTCACCCCCCAGGAGCCCCCCCCCAATCCCCGCGGGGGTTCCCCATTGACCTCCTCCCCCCCACCCCGAGGCCCCTTCGCAGCCTTTGGGGTCCCCCCCCCCTCCTTTGGGACCCCCCCTCCCTTTCCCCGTTCCCCTTCTCCCGCTGGTGGCTTCTCCGGTGCCTGCTCTGGGGTTGTGCCGCGCTGCGCCCGACGCGGAAGCGATGTGTGGGGCGCGCTGTGGGGCGCTGCCCCCAGCCGGGTTCCTGCCCCGGGGGCCCCGGCGGTTGCTTCCCCCCCCTCGGAGGTGCCCCCAGACCCCTCCCCGTGCCCCGGGCACTTCCTCCCCCTCCTTCCTCTTCCTCTTTCCTCCTCTGGTCCCTCCCCCCCCCCCCCGTGTCCTCTTCCTCTTCCCTCTCCCCCTCTCCCTTCTTCCTCCTTCTCCCTCTTCCTCCTTCCTCCCTTCTCCTCCCCCCCGCAGCCCCCTCTCACCCCTCTCCACTCCCACACCCAGAAGCCGCAGCGCTGGCACCGGCCATGGGGCTGCCAGGGACCCCCAACACTCCCAACACCACCAGCACCAACAGCAGCACCAACACCATCAGCACCACCAGCACCAGTGACCCCAGCACCAGCAGCCCCGGTAACCCCAGCTCCAGGGTCCTGGCTGCTCAGGACGCCATCGTCTTCTCAGGGGTGGGTGCGGAAGGGGTGACCCCCCCCAGCACAGACACCAGGCTCTCGCCCAAGCCCGTGCCCATGGATGAGAACATCTCCCACGAGCACCAAGGCCCTGGATCCACATCCGGGAGCCGCTTCCCCGTGTCCATGGACGGGAGCATCTCAGCCGTGCCCAGGGATGAAAACATCGCCCACAAGTACCAAGCCCGCGGACCCACATCCAGGAGCATCTCCCACGTGCCCACGGATGAGGACATCTCCCCCGGGTCCATGGCCGTGGGTGGGAGCGTCCCGCAGGAGCACCACGGCCACATCCCCATGGACCGGAGCATCTCCCCCGTGTCCCTGCCCTGGGATGAGACCATCCCGTGGGAGCGGGAGCCAATCGATGACCCCAGGTGGCCCAAGACGACGTGCACAGAGGAGACCAAGACATCCACGTCCATGCCCCGGGGTGGGAGCATCCCGCAGGAGCGTGTGGCCAAGAATGGGGGCATCTCCCCCGTGTCCATGCCCCAGGATGGGGGCATCTCCCCCGTGTCCATGCCCAAGGATGGGGGCATCTCCCCCACATCCATGCCCGTGGGTGCCAGCTCCTCGCTCCAGCACCGGGAGCCCGATGGCAGTGATGAGGAGGATGATGCTGATGAAGGCACCGACAGCGGCTCTGAGGAGGACGAGGATGAAGATGAGGAGGAGGAGCCCCATTTCCACACCAATCCCCTGTTCCAGAGCCCCCCCCGGCCCCCAGACCCGGAGCTCGGTGCCCCCCTGGCTCTGCCCCCCAGCTCTGGGCACTCCCCCGGGCTGTGGCTGCAATGGGGGTGCTCAGACCCCCCTGGGCCCCTGACACCCACAGAGCCCCCCCATAGATCCCCCAGCCCCATAACACCCATAGAGCCCCCCCATAGAGCCCCCAGCTCCATAACACCCATAGAGCCCCCCCATAGATCCCCCAGCCCCATAACACCCATAGAGCCCCCCCATAGATCCCCCAGCCCCATAACACCCATAGAGCCCCCCCATAGACCCCCCAGCTCCATAACACCCATAGAGCCCCCCCATAGACCCCTCAGTCCCATAAAACCCATAGAGCCCCCGCATAGACCCCCCATCCCCACAACACCCATGGAGCCCCCCCATAGACCCCTCAGTCCCATAAAACCCATAGAGCCCCCGCATAGACCCCCCATCCCCACAACACCCATGGAGCCCCCCCATAGACCCCTCAGTCCCATAAAACCCATAGAGCCCCCCCATAGACCCCCCAGCCCCACAACCCCCATAGACCCCGCCCAGCGCCCCCCCAGCCCCACAGATGCCCCACAGCAGCCGCTGGGAGCGGGGTCCCCGCCCCCCTCCCCACCGCGGGGTTCCCCCCTCCCGGGCCATGGCTCTGCCCCGGGCCCCCCCCCCCACCAGGAGCTGCCCCCCGAGACGCCCGCGGAGCCCCCGCCCAGCGCCCAGGGGTGAGGACCCGGACCCGGCCCCCCCGGGACCCCCAACCCCCCCGAGCTCTGCCCTCCCCGTTCCCCCCACTCCCGACCCCCCCCAACCCCGCTTCCCCTTCCCCCCATCCCCTTCCCCCCCCCTTAAGCCCCCCCCATCCCTTCCCACCCCCCAGCCCCGCTCTGCTCCATCCGCCCCCCTTCCCCCCCCCCATTTGACCCCCCCATTGACCCCCCCAATTCCATCCCATTCCCTCCCTTCCATCCCCCCCTTCACCCCCCCACTCCCGACGCCCCACCCCAACCCCCCTTCCCCTTCCCCCCCACAGTTAAGCCCCCCCCATCCCTTCCCCCCCCCAACCCCGCTCTGCTCCATCCCCCCCATCCCCCCCATTGCCCCCCCCCAATTCCACCCCATTCCCCCCCCCCCCCAACCTCTCCCTCCCGCTGCAGGAGCCCCCCGGGGGGGTCCCGCTCCCACGCTCGCCTCCTGGCTTCGCGCCTCTTCCGCCTCGACGGCGTCCGCAGGTCCGAGGTGGCCGCGTTCCTGCGCCGGGGGTAAGGGGGGGGCCGGGGGGGGGGAGCCGCGTCCGGGCCCCGGCTCCAGCTCAGCCCCCCCAGGGACGGGTTCAGCGCGATGGTGGCGCAGGAGTACCTGGAGTGGTTCCAGTTCGGGGGGCAGGAGCTGGACCAGGCGCTCAGGTAGCGATGGGGGGGCAGAGATGGGGGCAGCGACAGAGAGAGGGGGGATACGGGGGGGTGGGGGTGAGGGGGGGGCGGGGGGGTGAATTGGGGCGGGTTTGGGGTGAATTTGAGAGGGTTTGGGGTGAATTGGGGCGGGTTTGGGGTGAATTGGGGCGGGTTTTGGTGAATTGGGGCGGGTTTTGGTGAATTTGAGAGGGTTTGGGGTGAATTGGGGCGGGTTTGGGGTGAATTGGGGCGGGTTTGGGGTGAATTTGAGAGGATTTGGGGTGAATTGGGGCGGGTTTGGGGTGAATTTGAGAGGATTTGGGGTGAATTGGGGCGGGTTTGGGGTGAATTGGGGCGGGTTTGGGGTGAATTGGGGTGGGTTTGGGGTGAATTTGAGAGGGTTTGGGGTGAATTGGGTTGGATTTGGGGCGAATTGGGGCGGGTTTGGGGTGAATTTGAGAGGGTTTGGGGTGAATTGGGGCGGATTTGGGGTGAATTGGGGCGGGTTTGGGGTGAATTGGGGCGGGTTTGGGGTGAATTGGGGCGGGTTTGGGGTGAATTTGAGAGGGTTTGGGGTGAATTGGGGCGGGTTTGGGGTGAATTGGGGCGGGTTTTGGTGAATTGGGGCGGGTTTTGGTGAATTTGAGAGGGTTTGGGGTGAATTGGGGCGGGTTTGGGGTGAATTGGGGCGGGTTTGGGGTGAATTTGAGAGGATTTGGGGTGAATTGGGGCGGGTTTGGGGTGAATTTGAGAGGATTTGGGGTGAATTGGGGCGGGTTTGGGGTGAATTGGGGCGGGTTTGGGGTGAATTTGAGAGGGTTTGGGGTGAATTGGGGCGGGTTTGGGGTGAATTTGAGAGGATTGGGGTGAATTGGGGCGGGTTTGGGGTGAATTTGAGAGGATTTGGGGTGAATTGGGGCGGGTTTGGGGTGAATTGGGGCGGGTTTGGGGTGAATTTGAGAGGGTTTGGGGTGAATTGGGGCGGGTTTGGGGTGAATTGGGGCGGGTTTGGGGTGAATTTGAGAGGATTTGGGATGAATTGGGGCGGGTTTGGGGTGAATTGGGGCGGGTTTGGGGTGAATTGGGGCGGGTTTGGGGTGAATTGGGGCGGGTTTTGGTGCATTGGGGCGGGTTTGGGGTCCCGGGGGTGCTGGGGGGGCCGGGTCCCGCTGCCACCCCCCCCCAGGAGCTTCCTGCGGGCGCTGGCGCTGTCGGGGGAGACGCAGGAGCGGGAGCGCGTCCTCGGGCACTTCTCGCGGCGCTTCCACAGCTGCAACCCCGGAGCCTTCCCCTCGCCCGGTGAGCCCCGAGCGCCCAGAGACCCACAGGGACCCACAGGGACCCACAGGGACCCATAGGGACCAATAGAGACCAATAGCACCCATAGAAACCCATAGCACCCATAGCCACCCATGGCATCCATAGAGACCGATAGAAACCCAGAGACACTCAGAGACACCCATAGAGACCTAGAGATACCCATAGCACCGATAGAGACACCCATAGAGACCCATAGCACCCAGAGACACCCATAGGCACCCACAGCACCAAAGACACCCATAGAGACCCATAGCAACCATAGACACCCATAGATATGCATAGCAGCCATAGATACCCATAGCACTCATAGACACCCATAGACTTCCACAGACACCCATAGCACCCACAGCCCCCATAGCACCCACAGATACCCCCTGAGCCTCCCCCCTCCCCTCCCAGCTCTATGGGGCCCCCATTGGCCCCCACTGGTGCTGATGGGGACGGGCGTCCCCCCCGGGGGCTCCCCCCCGCTGCCCCCCAGACGCGGTTCACTCCCTGACCTGTGCCCTGATGCTGCTCAACACCGACCTCCACGGGCAGGTGAGGAGCGGGGGGACCCCCGCGTGTGCCCCCCACGGCGGGGTGCGGGGTTCAGCCCCCCCACGCCCCCTGCCCTGCAGCGCCTCGGCCGCCCCATGAGCAGCGCCCAGTTCGTGGCCAACCTGCGCGGGATGATGGACGGGGAGGACTTCCCCCGGCAGCAGCTCCAGGTGCGGGGGGGACCGGGGGGGGGGCACCGCTGGGCCCCCGGAGCCCCCCCTGAGCCCCGGCTGCCCCCCAGGCTCTCTACGGCTCCATCCGCAGGCAGGAGCTGCCGTGGGCGCTGTGAGTGCGGGGCTATGGGGGGAGCGGGGGGGGGACGGACACGGGGGGCCCCCGTGATGCTGAGCCCCCCCCCGCAGGGATGATGAGGATGGGCAGGAGGAGGAGGCCCCCCCCGGCCCCAGGAGCAGCGAATCCCGGCCGGAGCTGCCGGGGGGGGCCGCGGCCGTCACCCACCGGGGCTGCTTGGCCAGGAAGGTGCTGGCCGAGGCCGGGGGCAGAAAGAGTGAGTGGGGAGGGGGGGTCCATGGGGCAGATTGGGGGGGTTGGGGGTCCAGATGTGGGGTCCACTGGGGGGGCAGCTTTGGGGGCTCAGCCCGAAATGAATTCGGGGGGGGGGGGGTGATTTTGGGCTCCGTTGGGGTCCGCAGGGGCAGCTTTGGGGGTGCCCATCTCGGGGGGGTCACAGCAGCCACGAGCGGCTCCATTGGGGTGTGGGGGGGGCACGATCCGGGGGGTTCCCCTCGCCGGCTCCAACCCCCCCCCCCCCGTGCCCCCCAGCGCCGTGGGGCAGACGCGGCTGGAAGCGCTTCGAGGCGGTGCTGGAGGGGACCCTCCTGCAGCTGCGCAGGGCGGGGGCCCCCCCCGAGGCGCCGCTGGGGGTGCACCACGCTCTGGCCGAGCGCGCCCCCGCTTACACCAAGCGCCCCGACGTGTTCCGCCTGCGCGCGGCCGACGGGAGCCGCTTCCTCTTCCAAGCGCCGTGAGTTGGGGGGGGGGGGGGGGTCCCGGTTTTGGGGGGGGGGGGCGGCCCCGGTGACCCCCCCGCCCCCCCCCCCCCCGCCGCAGGACGCCCCGGGAGATGCTGGCCTGGATCGAGCGCCTCAACCTGGCGGCCGCGCTCCTCTCCGCGCCCCCGTTCCCCGCCGCCGTCGGGTCCCAGCGCGGCCCCGCGCGGCCCCTGCTGCCCGCGGCGCTCAGCCGCAGCCCCCCGGTGAGCACCGGGAAAGGGGGGGACGGGGACGGGAGGCCCCCGGGAGCCCCCCCTGAGCCGGTGCCGCCGCAGGAGGAGCAGCGCCGGAGCCACGCGGCCTGGATGGAGCGGGTGGAGCGGGAGCTGCGGCAGCGGCAGCGCCACGGGCCCGGCCCCGACCCGCGGCAGCACCGGCGGGACACGGAGCTGCTGCTGCACGAGGTGAGGGCAGCGGCGCCGCTGGGGGGGGGCGCATCCAGCCCGGTCCTGGCCCGGGGCGGAGGTGGTGCTGCGGGGTACGGGGGTGCTGCGCCCATGGGGACACCGGGGCCACGGGGACACCGTTATGGCCATGGTGAGGTTGCTACGGGCATGGCAGCACCGGGGCCGTGGTGGCACCGATATTGCCCTTGGTGACACAGGGCCCTGGTGGCACCATTGTGCCCACGGTGACCCTGTTCTGGCCGTGGTGGCACCATTGTCCCCACGGTGACCCTGTTCTGGCTATGGCGGCACCATTGTGCCCACAGTGACCCTGTTCTGGCCGTGGTGGCACCATTGTCCCCACGGTGACCCTGTTCTGGCCGTGGTGGCACCATTGTGCCCATGGTGACCCTGTTCTGGCCATGGTGGCTCCATCGTCCCCACGGTGACCCTGTTCTGGATGTGTTGGCACCATTGTCCCCATGGTGACCCTGTTCTGGCCATGGTGGCACCATTGTCCCCATGGTGATCCTGTTCTGGATGTGTTGGCACCATTGTCCCCATGGTGACCCTGTTCTGGCCATGGTGGCACCATTGTCCCCACGGTGACCCTGTTCTGGCCGTGGTGGCACCATTGTGCCCACGGTGACCCTGTTCTGGCCGTGGTGGCACCATTGTGCCCACGGTGACCCTGTTCTGGCCATGGTGGCACCGTTGTCCCCATGGTGACCCTGTTCTGGCCATGGTGGCACCATTGTCCCCATGGTGACCCTGTTCTGGCCATGGTGGCACCGTTGTCCCCATGGTGACCCTGTTCTGGATGTGTTGGCACCATTGTCCCCATGGTGACCCTGTTCTGGATGTGTTGGCACCATTGTCCCCACGGTGACCCTGTTCTGGCCATGGTGGCACCGTTGTCCCCACGGTGACCCTGTTCTGGCCGTGGTGGCTCCATTGTCCCCACGGTGACCCTGTTCTGGCTATGGCAGCACCATTGTCCCCACGGTGACCCTGTTCTGGCTATGGCAGCACCATTGTCCCCACAGTGACCCTGTTCTGGCCGTGGTGGCACCATTGTGCCCATGGTGACCCTGTTCTGGCTATGGCAGCACCATTGTCCCCATGGTGACCCTGTTCTGGCCATGATGGCTCCATTGTCCCCACGGTGACCCTGTTCTGGCTATGGCAGCACCATTGTCCCCACGGTGACCCTGTTCTGGCTATGGCAGCACCATTGTCCCCACGGTGACCCTGTTCTGGCTATGGCAGCACCATTGTCCCCATGGTGACCCTGTTCTGGCCATGATGGCTCCATTGTCCCCACGGTGACCCCGTTGTCCCCACGGTGACCCCGCTGTCCCCGCGCTGACCCCGTTGCGGTGCCCCCCCCGCAGCGCCGGCGCTACGAGACCTACGTGCGGGTGCTGGACTCGTGGCTCCGCGGCCGGGCCGAGCCGGGCTGGGAGGCGGAGGCGGAGCCGGGAGCGGCCCCCCGGGCCCCCCCGCGCTGAGCAGGGCGCGCTCCAGCCCCTCCCTGGGCCCCGGCCCCGCCGCGGCCCCCCCCGCCCGCGTCCGCAGGAACGAGTCCGAGCGGGGAACGCTGCGGAGCCTCGTGGGCCGGCGGCTGCGGGAGCGGCCCTGAGCGGGGGGGGCACGGGGGGAGCGGTGCGGGAATGGGGGGGAGCGGAGCGGGAATCGGGGGGAGAGGGACGGGAATGGGGGGGAGAGGGATGGGAATGGGGGAAGCGGTGCGGGAAGGGGGACAGGAATGGGGGGGGGAGCGGGACGGGAATGGGGTGGGGAGCAGGATGGGAATGGGGGGGAGCGGGATGGGAAAGGGGGGGGAAGCGGTACGAGCGGCCCTCGGGCACCACCAGCACTTGGGGGGGGGGCTTGGGAGCAATGTGGGAAACTCAGGGAGACCCCCCCAAAACGGACGGGGGTCACAGCCCCCCCCCCCCACTGCTGCTGCAATAAAGGTTTGTGACCAGCACGGCCCCCCCCTGTGTCCCCAAATGACCCGGGGAGGGGGGGACGTGGGGGTGATACCGTGGGCATTGCCTGTGTCTTCCATACAGCAACACCTTGTCTGTGGGGGGAACCACTCATTGCTCCCCCCCAGCCTGCAGGGACCCCCCAGTGCCACCCCCAGCATTGGCTATGGGACATTGCAGGGCCACGACTCCCCCAAACAGCCCCCACACCCCCCTCAACAGCACCCCCCCGAACCCCTTACCATGATCCAACAGCTTTAGGTGGGAATTCGTATTTATATGGAATATTTGGGGTCAGTTCCTAAGGGGGGTTAAAGGGGAGCGAGGGGAGGACACACCGTGAACACTGCCAAAGGGGACAACCCCCGGTGGGGTTCCTGGAGGTGGGAAGTGAAACGGGATCCCTGGGGAAGGGGGCTGTGACATGAGCCCCCCCTCGGGCTGGAATCCAGCAGGATCAGCCCTGGGAACAAAACCCATCCCAAGAGCCCTCATCCCAGTTCGAGATGAGGTGGCTGGAGGGTCTTTGGGGGGGGAAAGCCCCCCCCAGTGATGGGTTGATGTGGAAAAGCCTCATCCAACCCCATCCATACAAAATTCAGATCCAAAACCATTCCATGGAGAGGGCTGGCACAAGGAGCTGGGGGGGCGGGTGTGTGTTAATAAAGGGGGATTTGGGGGTTCCCCCCCCCCCCCATTCCCGGTCCAGGCACCCCCTGGGCTGGCTCCGGCCGCGATTCCCATGGGCTCCTCAGGCGTATTCCAGCTGCGCGGGGCTGCGGCTCCCTTCGCCCTTGGGCTCGGCCGCCGGCGCCTTCCCCTCGCCGCCCTCCAGCCCCTTGGCAGCCAGGTAATCCCGCACCTCCAGCTCCAGCTTCTTGGCCTTCAGCGCCGCCGTGTGCAGCTTCTCCAGGAAATCCGGCATTCCTGGTGGGAGGGGAGCTCATGGGGGCACTGGGGCTGCTGCCACCCAAAGGGGAGATCCCCCAGGCTGAGCCCTCCTGCAGCTCCACTCTGACCTCCCCTCAGCTTCCTTTTCCTTCCTCCCTGTTTTCCTTCCTTCCCATTTCCCTGTTCCCCTCCTTTGCCTCTCCCTCATCTCTCCCTCCCCACGCTGCAGCGCTGCCCCTATCCCACAGCCCTGCTGCATCCCGGGATTCCTCACACTTCCCATGGTCAGAGCCTCCCTTCCCAGGAGCTTTTCCCCCATTGACTCCAGTTCCATTCTCTCTGCACTCTGGATCCCGGGGCTGGGAGTGAGTTAAAACCAGCTCGTTTGGCTATAAAAGGGGAATCCCACTGCATTTTCCTTTGGGAGAGATGGAATATCCTCCCACACAGACCCCTTCCCATGCGGGAGGAAGAGCAGCCCCAGGCACTCAAACCACCCCCAATTGGAAGCATCTCCCCCTATTCCTTCCCCCCACCCAACAGGGAATGCCGGAGCCTCCTGGCTTGCTCCAGATGGAATCTCCCAGCCCGGGGTTGGAATTCCCAGCCCTGGGGCTCACTCACCGCTGGAGACCATCCAGCTGAGGCAGTAGCGGGGGAACACGGTCTGGGGGTTGTCGCTGTATGTCAGCAGGTAATCAAACCCGTTCTGGGGAGGAGGAGCAGACCTGAGCCAGTGGGAATGCTGCATTCCCCCCGCCCCAGATTCCCCGTAGGAGGAATCCTGATGCTGGGTTTAGGAGCATTAAGTGCTTCCCAATGGGATTTGTGAGGCTCGAGCAGTGCGTTTGGCTCCCGGGAGCAGGATAAGGATGAAACTACTGAGCTGGAGCTTCCAATCCCCCATGGAGGGGCTTTCCTTGGCTTTGGGAAGGGACTGATCCCCCTCTCCAGTGTGGAGCATTGAGCCCAGCTCAGTACCGGCAGCCGGAGAAGGAGCAGATCCACTTGGAGCAGCAGGAATGTCTCCTCTGCCCCCCGGCCCACGCCAGGACCCACCTCATCGAAGGTTTTGTGGGGCCGGATCACCATCTGGGATTCATAGGTCCTGACCCGAACGTACTCGGGATCTTCCGGGACACTCGGATGCTCCACAGCCCTGGAGGGAAGGAGATGGGAGCAGCTTGGGTTGATGTGCTGGTGCCTCGGAGGTGGCTCCCAAGAGACCAAGGGTTTCACCCCAAAAGCCGCTCTGGTTTTGAGGCAGATCCCTGAGGTTTGGCCGAGTCCATCCTGGAATTCCTCCCAGCACGTAGCACCGGGACACGTACCGTGAGACCAGCACCATCAGGTTGTTCTCCTGGTCCACGCTGTACCGCCGCACGTACACGTAGTCCCGGGAGTACATGGGGTACTGGGGAGGGAGAGCACGGGGATGAGCCCCAGGGCCTTCCCGGGGTGGGGAGGGTGGGAATGGGGCTGCTCACCGGGAAGTGTGTGACCCAATGGATCACTTCGGAGCCAGTGGCCAAATCCCTCTCGATCACATCCAGTTTGATGACCAAGGAGTCCCATTTCTTCCTGTACTCGGTGTCCAGCTGCAGAGAGAGCCCGGAGCGGGGGGGGGTGAGGAGCTGAGGGCACCCAGTGTGTGTGGGGCCAAAAGAGGGGATGGGATCCAGAGGGACCCCCCCACCCCTGCATCCTGCATCCGGCTGCCCCATCCCAAGGCCAGGTTGGACACAGGGGCTTGGAGCAAGCTGCTCCAGTGGGAGGGGGGTTGGAGCTGGGGGAGCTTTAAGGTCCCTTCCTCCCAAACCTGATGTCCAGGGCGCTCACCTGCACGTTGAAGAACTGCCGGGGAGTGACATCCGTGTAGGAGCCGAACACTGCGGGAAGAGGAAGGTTTGAATCCCGGGATTAGAAGGAAAAGGGATTTTCTTAGGCAGGACCCCCCCCCCCGCCCCAAGGGCATCAGGACGGGACCATCCCCACCGCGGTACCTCGGTACTGGTACAAGTGGGTGCCCTCGATCGGCCGCCGCCAGAGCTTAAAATGCTTCTTGTCCATGATCATCTCCCAGGGCTGCTCCCCCTGCTCCGCTCTGGGATCCAGGCGCTGGGAATCCCCCTGGAACAGGCTGGAAATGTTCTCCATGTGCTTCATCTCCTGCGCAGAGCTGGCACCAGAGAGACCCAGAGCCCTGTCAGTGACCATCCAAGCCCAGGTCCGGCATCTTCACCCACAGGAGCTGGATCCAGGTCTCCAAGATCTGGGATAACCCCGTCCCGTGCTGCAGCTCCCCTCCCACACCATTGACACATGAGAGTGGAAAGGCTGGATCCACCCAGAGGCTCATTCCCAGCGCTCCCGGCGCCGGGCCACGCTCACTGTGCCAAAGGAATTGGCACCAGTTTGTGACCTGCGAGGCCGGTCCCACTGGTCCGGCTGAATTCCCATTCCCTAGAAGTCACCAGACTCCTGGATGGATCCCAAATGGATCCACAAACCCCTTTGCTCGATCTGGAAGCGCAGCTCCGGCTCCTCCACACCCCAATGCCCCCATCCCAAGCTGGGATGCCAGGGAAAACGGAGCTAAAGGAGAGGGGACAGGGAGGGGATGGGAAAGGGGATCCTCTAATCCCATTCCTCCCTTCCCGACGCTGTTCCCTATGGAGGATTCCCACCTGCCTAGGACAAAAGGCATCGGCTGCCGGGAGGGGAGGGGAGCGGAGCCGGGCTGGATAAGGGGAAAGGGAAGAGCGAGGAGGGATAAGCCAAGGGCAGCGTCCTCCTCCTGGGAGCCTCCGGGAGCGGATGGAGCTGGAGGGATCCTCACAAGGAGGTTACAGAGGCTCCAGCCTGCTCCGAGTCACCGGGGACAGGATAATCCCGGCCCTGCTTTACTTAATCCCAGGCCTAAGCCGAGCGCTGCTGAGCCCAGTGGAAAACTCCAGCGGGTTCAGGCCGGGCCCCGCAGGGAAGGAGCCGGGATTTGGTGCCTTTGGTGCCTTTCCCAGCGCTGGGATCGCCCTCACACGATGCCGGTGGCACAAACAGGGCTCGAGGGTCGCGGCTCCTTCGCTCCGAGGTTTAATTAAGCCTCGGGAAGGGCCCCCTGGAGCGAGCCCATGGGACTGGCCCCCCCCCCAGGCACAAGGGAGAGGTTTGGGGTGCAACTGCCAAGCGTGGCGGGGGCACCCAGCATCGGGGGGACACCCCCCAAATCCTACAGAGGGGGAGCTCAAGGGGCACCCCAAGGGAACCCCTATGGTGGGACAGGAGAGGACAAAGGGGACCCCCCCCTCAGCACCCCAGAAATGGGGACAAGGGGGGGTTGCGGGGGAACCACCCCATAGATTTAAGGGACGGACTTGAGGTGCACCCGCCCCGCTCGGCCTATGGGGCCTGCCCTATGTCGGGGGGGGGGGGAGCTTTGGGCTGCAAAGGGAGAACCCGGGGGGCTCTGGAGCCCTCCAGCGCTGGGGGCGGACCCGCCCGATGGGGCTCCCCGCAGGGGGGGTTTGGGGGTGCGGAGCCCCCCAAGCGCTGTGGGGGACACGACACAGACACACACACACACACACGCACCGCTGCAGCTCCTCCTCCTCGATGCGCTGCCCGTCCCACACGAACACCCCGGCCAGGGTGGCCATGAGCCGGCCGGTGGCGGCGAAGGCGAGGCGGCCCCGGAGCAGCCACCACCACCACCACCCCCCCCACCCCCCTCCTCCTCCTCCTCCTCCTCCTCCGCCCCCTCCGGTTCTCCGCGCCCGCTCCGCTTCCCCGGCCCGGCTGCAGAGCAGCGCCAGCAGCGCCCGGCCGCGGGCGGCAGGGGCAGGGCCAGGGCCGGGGGGAGGCGCGGCGGGGCCCGGCCGGGCGCAGCGGACGAGCAGGCCGGCGAGCGGCCACCGCGGCTGCAACATGCCGCCGCTGCCTCCGCGGGGCCGCCCCTGCGGCGCGCTCCCGATGGCGTCATCGCGCAGCGCCGCGCCACGCCATTGGCCCCCGCGGGGGAGACCTCGCTGCGGTCATTGGGTGAGGAGGGCTCCGCGGGGTGGGGCTTGAGGCAAGGACACGCCCCCAGGAGCGGAGGGCGGGGCGAGGGGGTGTGGAGGGTAATGGGGTGTTATTGGGGGGCAATGGGAGGTTTGGGGTCTGGGGGGGGTACAGCGGCAGTGGAGGGGGATTGGGGACAGCAAAATGGAGTCACAGAACGGTTTGGGTTGGAAAGGGCCTTGAGATCATCCAGTCCCAACCCCCTGCCATGGGCAGGGACACCTCACACTAAACCAGGGCACCCAAGGCTCTGTCCAACCTGGCCTTGAACACTGCCAGGGATGGAGCATTCACAGCCTCCCTGGGCAACCCATTCCAGTGCCTCACCAACCTCACATAAAGAACTTATCTCCAACCTGAACTTCCCATTTCAGTCTGAACCCATCACCCCTTGTCCCATCCCTACAGTCCCTGATGAAGAGCCCCTCTCCAGCATCCTTGTAGCCCCCTTCACACACTGGAAGCTGCTCTGAGGTCTCCACGCAGCTTCTCTTCTCCAGCCCCAACGTTCTCAGCCTGGCTCCATTCGGGAGCTGCTCCAGCCCCTGAGCATCCTCGTGGCCTCCTCTGAACTCGCTCCACCAGCTCCATGTCCTGACGCTGGGGACCCCGGCACTGCACACAGGGCTGTAGGGGGGGGGGTGTCTCACGAGAGCAGAGGGACAGGATCCCCTCCATGAGCTCACGCTGCTTCAGACGCAGCTCGGCACGCAGTTGGTTTCCTGCCTCAAGCGCACCCCGCCGGCTCCTGTTCAGCTCACAGGGAGCTCCCCCCTTTCCCCAGCACAAAGCCAGGCTCCACTCAGCCCTCGCACCCCCTTTAGGCTGGAGGGGGCCCCATCCACAGCTCCCACCGGGGGCACCAGACACCCCTCACACCCCCGGCTCCAGGAGCCCACTGAGCGCCACGCCCCCCGCCCGCCTCTATTTATATCCACCCCGCCCAGCCAATGGCGAGCGCCAAAGCGCCGCGTGGGCGGGGCGGAGCAAACCACTGCAGGGGGGGGGGCGGGAGGGGCGGTTCGTCACCCCCGGAGCGGGGCTGAGTGACCCGGGCCCGGGATTGCCCACCGGGGCACCGAGCAGGGCCAGGCGGACCGACCGGACCGGGCCGGGCCGCTTCCCCCGGGGACACGGCGGGGCAGGCGGCAACCGGTGACCACCGGCGATACCCCCCACGGTGCGGCCGCATGGAACAGCCCGAGGCAGCCATGTTACCGGCTGGGCGCCTGCCCGGCCCAGCGCCGCCCGCCGCCATCTTGTGACACCCGGGACGGAGACCCCCGCACCCCGATAGGGAACAGAGACCCCCGCACCCTGATGGGGAACAGAGATCCCCGCACCCGGATAGGGAACGGAGACCCCGCACCCTGATGGGGAACGGAGACCCCCGCACCCTGATGGGGAACGGGGACCCCCGCACCCTGATGGGGAACGGGGACCCCCGCACCCTGATAGGGAACAGAGACCCCTGCACCCTGATAGGGAACAGAGACCCCCGCACCCTGATGGTGAACGGAGACCCCGCACCCTGATGGGGAACAGAGACCCCCGCACCCTGATGGGGAACGGAGACCCCCGCACCCTGACGGACACCGGGTCAGAGCCTGCGAAGGGAGGACCCCGGGGGAGCCTCGAGACGCGCCTCGCCCCTCCCACCTTATTTGCATACGACTCATTTGCATAAGGGGCGGGAAAACTCGTATTAGGCAGCACAGCCCCACTCCCGGACTGGTGGCAGTGGTTTTGAGGGGGGGGGGGTGTGTGTGTGTCAGTGCTACCGGTTCCTCCGGGACCCCCCCCCGCACCTGCTCAGCACAGCACAGCTCTGTCTTTATGTAAAAAACGCTTTTATCCGTCCCAGGTGTATAAAAGGCCGGAGGTGCTGAGCCCCAGCCCCGCACCGCCCGCCGCCGCCTGCCCCGCAACAACCCCACACCACAGCGCTGCTCCCTCCTCCTCCTCCTCCTGCAGGCCCGTCCCTGGGCTCTGCCTTCACCTATTCCTTATGAACCCCCCACATTCCTCGTGTCCCGGGCACAGGGCGGCGGCGGGAGGGAGCGGCTGCTTCTCCTCCTGCCCTCTTTACGCTGTTTTCTGTTGGCCCTTCTTCCCGATCAGCGACTTGTGGATGTGGGGGATGACACCTGCGGAGAGAAGAGGAGGATTCCCATCAGAGCCAGGCCAAATCCTCCCTTTATTGTGCCTCGGGAATTAGGAATCCCTGCTCGTGTGTTCACCCCCCCCCCCCTTTAGATGAGGGCTGAGGGACACTCACCTCCGCCGGCAATGGTGGCTTTGATCAGGGAATCGAGCTCCTCATCCCCGCGGATGGCGAGCTGCAGGTGCCGGGGAGTGATCCGCTTCACTTTGAGATCCTTGGAGGCATTCCCCGCCAGCTCCAGCACCTGCCCAGACAGGGGCGAGAGCCTCGGCATCAACCAGCAGCCCCGGCAGGGAGGAGGCAGTGGGGGGGGGGGAACAGGACCTACCTCTGCGGTGAGGTACTCGAGGATGGCAGCACTGTACACGGCCGCCGTGGCTCCCACTCGCCCGTGGCTCGTGGTGCGAGTCTTCAAGTGTCTGTGGATCCGGCCCACGGGGAACTGGGGTGGGAGGGAGCGAGCCAGTTGTTAATCCCCCATTCAACAGCACCCGAGCCACTCATGGGGGTCCCACAAAGGGAGCTCTGAGCGCAACCCCGGGCTCCTGTCCCAGCCCGATCCCAAAGCATCCCTAAGGAGGGAGGTCTGGGGCTGCCTCACCTGCAGGCCGGCTCTCTGCGAGCGGGACACCGCCTTGGCCTTGGCCTTCCCGCTGTCCTTTCCCGCCTTCCCACCAGCCTGCAGGGGAGAGACACCGGGAATTAATCCATGTGCAACCACCCCCCCGAGCCCTGCATTGGGGCAGCAGCACCAGAGGGACCTGGAGCTGTGGGAGCGAGGCCACGGAGCTGCTGCGAGGGCTGGAGCAGCTCTGCTCTGGAGCCAGGCTGAGAGAGCTGGGCTGGGGCAGCCTGGACAAGAGAAGGCTCCTGAAGGGGAGACCTGAGAGCAGCTCCAGTGCCTGAAGGGGCTGCAGGAAACCTGGAGAGGGGCTTGGGACAAGGGCCTGTAGGGACAGGCCAAGGGGAATGGCTTGAACCTGCCAGAGGGGAGACTGAGATGAGCTCTTAGGCAGAAGCTCTTCCCTGTGAGGGTGCTGAGGCGCTGGCACAGGGTGCCCAGAGAAGCTGTGGCTGCCCCATCCCTGGCAGTGCTCAAGGCCAGGTTGGACACAGGGGCTTGGAGCAAGCTGCTCCAGTGGAAGGGGTCCCTGCCCGTGGCAGGGGTTGGAGCTGGATTTAAGCTCCCCCCAACCCCAACCAGGCTGGGATTCCATGTAAACAGGACAGAGAAACCCAGCTAGCAACGTTCTAATCAGAAAGACCATCCTCAGAGTGTAACGTCCCAACACCCCCCGGACAAGCAGCAAAATACAGCTTCACGAGCCAGCAAAACACTATTAGAGCGTCCTTTGGGCTATCTATCCTCATTATAATCTCAGTTGAATATTAACAATCACACCCACGTGTTGATAATTGGAATTACATTGAATAAATATGCAAAATGAAGTGGGGAAAATCAGGGAAGATCCCCCCGCGTGTGCTGGGATGTGCCATGGGGCTGAGCCTGTCCTCGTCCTGCCCCCAAGGGACACACGCTGGGTACGAGCTGTGCTCTGGGTGTGTTTAATGATTGCTCTTTGCTGCCTTTGTAGGTGTTATTTTCACTCTCACCCTCCCAGGTGTGTGTCAGATCATCAGTGGTGATGTTCAACTCTTCCACTGCCAAGAATTCAGGTCATAAAACCTCTCAGCGGAGATCTATCGCTGGGGTAAACCCCTCCCTGGGGGGAAGACCCCTTTAACATGAGGAGAGCAACACATAAAATACCCCCAAATCTGCTCTCTTGAAGAAACAGCAGCAGAGAAACCCCGGAGAGCAACTGGAGAGGGGGAGCAGAGCCCTAAGCCACGCTGGCTCCATCTAAACCCCTGGCTTTAGACCACGCATGGATCCCGCAGTCCCTATTCCTGTCTATGAAGGAGCAATTCCAGCTGTCAGGCGTCCAGGCGCTCTTTAAACTCAACCATGGGGAAAAGAAGTTGCAAGGAAATAGTTCACGTGCAAGGGAGACATGAAGCAGATCCGGCAGCGGGAATGCCGGCACAGCAAACCCTCCCTTGCAGGGCAGGGGTGTCTGTAGCACTTGCGCTGTCAGGAGAGCAGCAGAGACGCGTCCAAAAGGATCTGAAGCCCCCGGAGTTCCTTTGAAAGCAGCGAAAGCATCGCTCGGTAAAACTCCCAAACTCATGCCCATCCCGGGCACGGTCCTGCAGGAACGCTGGCTCTGCTATGTCCAGCGTGAACATTCCCTCCTCTTCCTCACGGAGCTCAGGCTGGTCAAAGGCGGATTTGCTTCTTCATCCGTGCCGGACAGCACTGACAGGCACAGGAGCGGCGTCTCCTTTCCTTCTCCCCACGGGAGCGCATTCCCACAGGGAAACCCCCTGGATGCAACAATTGGATCTCTCCCAAGCCAAACCCAAGTCTCTTTTTCCCCTCTTCCCATCGCTCCAGACAGGACCAAACCCTCCAGAAAGCACCTCTGGATCGGCGGCCACCGCTTGCGTAACCTCCCCGCGGGCTCCCCCTCACCTCCTGCCGCCCGCACACCGCTTACAGACCCCGCGCTGAGGGTTACAGACCCCGGGCCATGCACACAGGGCGGTGAACTCCGGCCGGAGCCCGAGCTCCGCCTGGGCCCTAACCCGCGGGGACCGCAGGCAGCGGCTCTGACAGGCGCCCTTCGGCGGGGCTCCCCCCTGACAGCCGCGTCCTCGCCCCACGAGCAACTTCGGCACCACGCGAGCAGCGTCGAGGGCTGCCCGCGGCGACGCTTCCCCTCCGCCGCCCTCCCGCGGACAGCGGAAGGAGCCGCCGGGAAGCGGCGCAGCCCCCTCCTGAAGGGCCTCACCACCGCGGGAGGCTCCGCGGGGACCGGGCTCCGGCGTCCCCGGGAGCCCCTCGGGACACGGTCGCGGAGCCACCCCCGCCGCCCCTCACCATGGTGCCGCCGAGCCCCGGTGCCGATCCCGCGCTGGAGCCGCCTCAGGAGCCGCCAGACAATAACCCTCCCGCGAGCGACGACGGAGCCCGGCCTGCCGCGGCGGCCCGCGAGCCAATCGCGGCGCCCCGTGCTAGTTTGAACACGCCGCTATCACCAATCACAACTCGGCTTCTTACCTCCCCCCTCGCCTGGCTCCGCCCCGCGGCCCGTTTAACGGCTGTTTTTTTCCTTTGCACACGGCACGCAGGGGTGAGGGCGGGGCCGCCCCGCGCCGGTGCGGCTGAGCGACGTGGCTGTCATCCAATAGAAACAGCGGAATGGCCAGCGAGGGGGCGGGGACAGAATGACAGACAGCTCAGGGAGCCAATTGGAGGAGGGAAAACTTTCCCGCCCATTCTCTGGCCCCGCCCCTCGCGTTGTTTGTTTGCGCGGTGCGGCGCTGAGGGAAGGGCTGCGGCCGCTCCCGGTCCCGGTCCCGGTCCCGGTCGGGCTCCGTGGGGGCCCTCGGTGCGGGCGGCCCCGCCGCAGTGAGGGGCCTGAGCCCGGCACAAAGCTTCCCGCTCGGTTACGGCCGGCGGCGGTGGAGCAGGTAGGGCCGCGCCGGGCCGGTGCCTCAGCGTCCCCCCGGCTCAGGGCCTCGCAGCTGCTCCCGCTCCCTTCCGGAGGAGCCTGGCGGCACCTGCCCCATGGCAGGCCCCCCCCCCCCCACCAGCTGTGCCCCGCGCAGCCCCGGCTCCAGCCGTGATGGGGCCCCGCGGCAGCTGCTGCCGGCGGGACGCGGGTGCCGGGGGCTGCTCCCGCCTGGCCTGGGGGCCGCCCGCGGGGGGGCCGCGTTGCTCCGTGCGGTGCCGGTGTTTTCCCCCCCCGCCCCACGGGACATGGTGCTGCCTGGGGGGAGCCCCGCGGCCCCTTGGTGCCGTGCTGAGACCTCGGGGTGCCTGTGTGTGTGTGCACACAGCCCCATAGGGCCCCGCAGAGGTCGGGGAGTCCCGCAAAAGCCCCACAGGTCCCCAGGCAAGCCCTGACAGTCCCCCAAAAGCCCCAAGGATCCCCCCCAAGGCCCCGAGATGCCACCAGAGGTCCTCCCCAGAGCCCCTTAGGGGTCCCGTGAAAGCCCCCCAGGTCCCCACTAGAGCCCTTTGGATCCCCCCCAAAGGTCCCATGTTTCCCCAGGGCCCCATAGTTCCACCCAGAGACCCACATGTCCTCCCCTTGGCCCTAAGGTCCCCCAGAGCCCCACAGGTGCCCCCCAAAGCTCCATAATTCAGCCCCAAGGTTCCCCCTGTATCCTTCCCCCCCACCCATGAAGGCCCCTAAAGCTGCAAGGGCCCTTCCCAGACCCACATAAGTCCCATCCAAGTCCCACCACAACCCGGTCCCAAACCAATGGCACCCCTTCAGGGACTCTCTCCCCCCCAGTGATCCAGACGGGGCAGCGCCGGGATTTGGTGCTGTTTTTTTTTTTTTTTCCATTCACTTTTCCGCATACTTTTTATTTGTTACAAACATACAATTCTTTAAATATAGACTTGTAAAACTCCATCTGCAAAAATCTGCTACGGGGGAGGAGAGGAGCAGAGGCACGAGGAGCTCCTCACGCCGGGCGTCGTCTGGCGCTAGTGGTAAGATCCAGGGATCCAGGCCCTGCCTTCGGCAACCGCCGGCCGCAGAGGGACGAGGGAGGAAGGGAGGGAAGCAAGGAGGGGGGGGGGGGGGGCACAGGACACCACCCCCCCCCGGCGCCGGCAGCCCCTCCTCGGGCTGCCTAAAGTGCATATGGTTGCTTTTCTGTTTTTCTTTCATTAAAAAAATAAGAGGAATAAAACTTTCTTCTTTCTCAAGGGACTGCGGGGGGGGGTGTGTGGGGGTGGGGGGGAAGCGGGTTCGGGCTCTCTCGGCAGATACCGGCTCATCCCGGAGGATCCGGTGGTGGTCCAGCATCGCCCCGCCGGCACGTTCTGCTGCAGAACCCCACTGCTTGCACCACCTCCAAGCTGCTGCTCCCCTCTCCCGTCTCGGCTTGATCCACGAGAGCCGTTCCAGCGCCGGGAACACGGGGCCTGACCGGCTCGACCGGCTCCGCCGGGGCTCCAGCCTCTCCCTCTTGAGCCACGGTTGGCATCTCCCACCGGGAATGCTGTCCTGGTGCGCACAGCCAAGAGCTCCGTCGGGCGTCAGCTCCGGTACCACCAGCGCTCGCTCCCGCTTCCGTCCGTTTGCATTTTCTGGGACTTTTGTGGGTTTTTTTGCTATTTTTCCGTGGATTTTTGGAAGCTTTTTGTTCGGCTCCAAAGAGGAGCCGGTGAAGGGCTCACCCGGAGCAATCACCGCTCTCCCAGCACTGAGGGCCCATTCCGTGCCCCTCACCCCCAAAGCGGCTGGGACCAAGGCAGGAGAATTCCCATTTTTATCCCTTTTTTTTTTTGGGGGGGGGGGGGAATATTGACTTGAAGCGTTCCCACTATTCCCGGAGCTCCGCACATTTTGGGGTATATACAGCGAGATTTGGGCGCTATACAAGATTTACAGGTGAGTTCTGTACAGCCACAGCGCGCTCGCAACCAGGCCCTTCCGGAGCAACTCCCAGCTGGAAGTTCCAAGGATTTGGGATCATTTCCCTCCCCCCCTACCCCACCCCCCGATTAAAAACCAACCCCCAAACCCAAAAGGAATTTGTTTTCTACAGAATCCAAAGCAAACTCCCCCACCCCCCCGCCCCCCCCGCCCTCCAAAGCCCCTCATATATGTACACACACGCGCGGAGAGGTGTATCTACATATATATAGATACAGGAACAGCCGGACCGCGGCGTTCCCGGCGCTGATGATGTGTCACCATCACCACCACCATCATCATCACCACCACCACCACCACCACCACCTCAGGGCTGATCCTGGGTGCTGGCCACGGCCTCACCCCACTGAAAGGAAACCCCCAACCCCCTCACCCCACCCGGAGCAGCCACCCGAGTCCTCGCTGGTGCCGCGGCTCCTCCGCGCCGCCGGCGCCTCCAAAGAGCGCTTGGATTCCTCCCGATTCCATCGTTTCGGGGATGTTTTGGCCTCTTTTGCCTCTCTCCTCAGCCATCTCCTGCAGTGGTGAATGGAAGATTCCCACATGGAGCCGGCGCTTCTCCGGCAGGAGAAAGGCTTCGTGCTGCCGACGCTGACGCGGCCCCGGCTCCCGCTTGTGTCGTCGTGTGGATTTTGTTCTCCTTTTGGCTTTACTTGCCTCTTTTTTTTTTTTCCTCCTATTCCATGTATCCCATGGTTTTCGAGCCAGGCTGGCGTCGAAAGGCAAGGCTAAATTCCTGCAATTCAGCCCCAAAATACAGGAATATATATATATCGTTTATATATATATATATAGAGCTCATCCTCTTCTAAAATGAAAGGAGAGGTACCGCCTGCGTCTGGCGCCGGCGCCCGCCGCTGAGTCCATCACGGCGGAGCCACGCTTCCCCCCAGGAATCTCCTTGTGGAAGGAGCGGGAAGAGCAGAGCTGGGGTGGGGGGGGTCCAGCAGGACGTCACTGAGAGCTGCCTTCGGGTACAAAATACAGTACGGACGCGGGTGGGACACCGAGATAAAAGACTATTGCTCCCGTGTTGAGTGAGGAAACCGGGCTTAAAAACGGGATGAAGGGAAGAAATCCGCATTAAAAATCCCTTGGGAAGAGCGACGGCGGCAGCGGAGGGCACGCGGATGGGAGGATGGACGGACAACGTCTGTCCCCCCCCCCACGGGTGCTGCTCCTTTGGGGTGAGGAGGGGACACGGTGTCACATCCCCCTTCCCCCGCTGCACGAGGGCTTCCCAATAAATACGGAGAGAGGGACCCGCCGGGATCCGCGGCAATAAATTAAGGAGGCGGCGGCGGCGGCTCCCAAAACACAGCGGGAAAAACTCCATAAAAACCAGGAAAACTCAAGTCCTCGACACGGAGAAGCCGTGGGATGAGAGCGGGAAACTTTGGAATGAAGAGCGCTGGAGCCCAGCTCAGTCCGGAGGCGCTGGGGAAGCGCAGGGCTGGAAGGGCCGAGTGAGCTAAAAAAACAGGGAAAAAACAGGAAAAAAATAAGGGGGGGGGGGGGAACCAGACGATTTGAGAGTGGAAAAACTCCGTTTTAATGCGCGAGGCAATGGGGGGGCCCCGGCGGGGGCAGCACCGGAGCAAAGGGATCAAAGAGAAGGGGGAAAAGCCTCAAAAATCCCCCCAAAAAAAGGTCCGGATCCCCCCCGGCGCCGCCGCCTGAGGTCGGTGCTGCGGGAGGAAACTCAAATCCCGGTGGAAGAGGCGGCTGTTGGTGCCGGAGCAGAGAGAAGGGGAAGGTTTGGTGCCGGGTCGAGCTTCCCTTGTGCGATCCCGGTGGGAAATCCTCAATCCCGAGGAATCTGCGGGCCTGGAGCTGGAGGGGGGTGGGGGGGAGCAGTTTGCATCCCAAAAACCCGGAAAGGAAGAGAGGAGAGAGGGGAGGAAAGGAAGGGAATGGTGGGGGGGTGGCTAAAGGGGAAAACCAGATGGAAATAGAAAGGAATGAGGGAGAGGAAGAGGGAAAATACAGGGTAAAAGAGGAAAATAAAAGGAGAAAAAGTAAAAAGAAGGAAAAGGAAAGTAAGGGGGAAGGGGAAAGTAAAGGGAAAAGGGGGAGGAGTGGGAATGCGAAGGGGGGAAAGAGGAAAGCAAAGGGGGGAAAAAGAGGAAAGGAAAAGGGGACATAAATGGGGAAAGGAAGGGGGAAGAGGGGAAAGCAGAGGGGGGTACAGAGGAGATCGGACGTTGGTCCATGTGTGCCCCCGCCCCGGCTCTGGCTCCGCAGGCTCCGCCGCTGCCCCCCGTCCCCCCCCCCGTCCCCTCCCCGGCTCCGGTGCCGGCACGTGGCTGGTCTCGGTGGTGCCCCCGGCGGCTCCATGGGCACGGGCCGGGCTCGGAGCCGGTCGCTCCCCCCCCGCAACCAAACCACCACCAGCAGCGCGAGTCGGGCCGGGCTCTCCCTCTCTCCGGTGGCGTTGGGGGGGTGTCGGTTCCGGGAAAGGGGGGGGGGGGTGGTGTGTGTGTGGATTCGAGGGTGTCGGGGAAGGGGCCGGCGGCGGGATCCGGGGCTCAGTCGTCGTCCACGTCGTCGCCGTCCGAGTCGTCGCCGGCGCCGCTGCCGCTGCC